TGGAGATCCACATGCTAATGTAAGCATGAATAAAAAAAAGAGAGCATTGCTCCAGCAGAGAACAATTGGATTCTCTGCTGCCTAAACTAAGAGCTAAGACAATTATGCCTAAGCTTTGGAATCTTGTTTGCAATTCTTGAATCTACCCTGTGAAGACAGAAAACATTATGCCAACAGTGATGAAAAAGAGTACTGATCATATGAAAATATATTCCTATAGTATCGATACCAAGTCACTCTTTTAGTCTAATCTCATTTTTGGTACCTATCATAATAATCTCAGCAAGAGAAAGAATATATTTTAAAAAAGCCAAGTGTCTGCACTTGTTAAAACAAGTAAGAAACAAGGAAAGAGGATATATGACACTTGATCCCAAACAAATTATTACTATTATAGGTGCTCCTTTCTGCATGTGTCTTCTCAATGGGGAAAAAAAAAAAAAAGAAAAGAAAAAAAGAAGCACACGTGAAGCTTAGAGAAAGCATATAGCAAGTTCTTCAGTAGCAAAAATTATATGTAGTGCCACAGTTCAATACCCATGCCTATTTGGGTGTTTTTCTTTAAGTCTGCTTTTTTAAGATCCTGAAGAAGCAAGACAATTAAGATCCATTCCTATTCACTCTGAAATCAGATGTTCTACTTAAATCTAAGTCATACCAATTCAAATAGTCTTGTTTTGTTTTGTTTTAACTACTGCTCAGAATAAATTTTCTGCTCTGTGCTGTATGGATCTGTATGATCAAAGCTAGAACTAGAGGTTCATAGCACCACTATGAATGGATAATGCTAAGGACAGGGCAAAAGGGAGGGAGAGAGAATACAACACTTGGGGGGGAATTTTCAGAGTGTTATCCCTATTGTCATTATTGTGCCTATAAACTTGTCTATGAGACAGAACAAGGACCAATAGATCTTTTTGTTCCCCCCCCCCATCATATAGGGAAAATAAAGAACAATATAGAGAAGAGGCTTGTTGACAGCTTTTATGCGAAGGACCTGAATTTAGAAGCCAGTAGGTTTCTGGTTCAGGACCAGTGCTGACAGCACTACAGCCTCTTGTTTTTCTAGGTAAAATGCCACAATCCGACAGCAGCTCAGTAGCTCGCTACCTTCCCGCAAAATTTCCATGTTCCACTTGCAGAGGCCTGGCCCATTCATCTTCTTGCCTCCAAATCTGCTCTGGACTCTCTTCATTCCTGCTGTGTCAGTACATTACATTCTTTTAACAGGAGGAAAATATATTAAATAAATAATAAACTGATAACGATAGTCTAAAAAACACATATTTCTTTCTCCGTATTTCCCCTCATTTGATTAGTCTTCCAGTAAGAGCAGCATTAATCACTGGGGAAGTAGATGAAAGATAAAGACCAATTTGAATTTTGCTGTGTGCTACTGACTATGTGTGTGTGTGCTCAGGCAGCAGGGAGGGAGTTAGCAGGATAATCTGTCATTTTGTATATTTATGATATTGGAGTTGGTCAGGACTGGTTCTCCATTGTTACCACAGATTAAAATCATTCGTGTCCTTACAGTTTCATTGGAGGTCATCTTTCAGGAAAAAAAGAACACTATAATCAAGTTAAATTGAAACTATTTGAGCAAATCTCTCTATATGGCTTGGGCATTGAGGATATCGCTTGAATCTTAGAAGTACAGCATGTTTTTCTCCTTACCTGACCTGACTCTTTGTACATTAAAAGTGAGTTTTCCTGCTCCAAAGCAGTTAACAGAAAAGAGCTGTAGCAAATGAGAAGAGGTGGTTTTCACATGGCGTTATTAAAATGTATGACAGTTCAACCCAGCCTGACTGTGCACTGCTATGGTAGAAGCCATGGGTCCTCAGAGTACGGTTGCCAACAGCCCTACTGAAATAAATCCCTGCCAGCTTGGCAAAAAAGACTTCCCTTTATCCGTAGCAAAGACAGAAATTCCCAAAAGGAGAGATTAAAAAGTAGAAGAGTGGCTATTAAGCCACGTAAGAGTATCTCTCTTCTCCAAATCTTTGTCTAATCAAAATAGAGTTGCCTAAAGCATCATCCTACTGCTTCTAGCCATGTCACTCTTCACATTCAAGTCTTGCTGTTTCCTTCCCATATCTTTATGAGAAAGATATAATCTTGTCCTCTGGATCTTATTTCCTTTTCTATAGCTCAATAGTTATTTTTTCTCTATTCATTTTGATAGATTTAGCCACCAGGGTATTCCTAATATTCCTTACTCTCTGGCTCAGGACTCCCAACAAATTATCACTATGCCTGGAACTGTTTTTACCCACAGTATTTCTTTAGGTATGCCAATCCCAGACACAGTAAAAGAGGCAGCATAGCACCAATAGAAAATCTCAAAGCAATAAGAGCAAAGAGACAAAAAGACCAAATTTTCTCCAAAAACACACTCTCAGAAAGCACAAGGGGAGCATCTGCAGTACCAAGGAAACTGGAATCCCAAGTCCTCACCACTCAGGCTTTATTTTCCTGCAGAAATTTTGTAGCAAACTGTAAACAAATTCTTATCTGAAAGATTATAATAGAAGTAATTATCGAAGTCAAAATGAATTACATCCCACCGGCTCTTAAACTGTCTAAAAGAGAAGAAAAAGTAATGGTAATTACATAACTCATTTTCCTAATAGTTATTTTTACGAGACATACCATGATAGACATATATTGTCAATTAGCGACAATTAATCTACAGATGTGTCCATCTACCTACAGATGAAACTAGCAAAATCCTGCTTTTTGCTAGTTAACAACATCATAAAACCCAGTGCATTAATTAGGTGATTTCAGAAAGTGGATCTGTCACAACAGCTTAGATATTTTTCTAAATTCAATACAGTCATCCATATATAAGTTAGGAAAGGTAAGAAGTACGTTCCCACCTCTCAACCAGTCTTGTAAAAAAAAAAGAAAAAAATCCAAACGGAACTGTATGCACTGGAAGCTTTCTGGCAATGTCTGCAGCTTCTAGGCATTTTCCTTCCTTTTATATAAAAATAGCAAGCAGAGCAGATACACTCTAACAATATGTGATCCAATCCCACAACTATATTTGAACTACAACCATTCACTGTACATCATTTAATCCTAACCAGTTGCTTTTGCAGTATTGGAAGTCTTTATCACACGTTGTTGCTGCGCAACCAGCCTAGAACAAAACACTTTTCCTATGCTATCATTTTGCTTGTGATCAAATGTATGGTCAACTATAGCAGCTTTAGTCCTGAATACTGTATTAATCAGATTTGGAAAACAATCTTCCATGTAACTTACAAGAATCCATTGTGGCAGGGCAGATGACATGTCTAAATGCACAAATGGATCATGTGCCTTAAAAAAAAAGTGCACAGTGATGTGATTAAGCATACTTTCTGAGAAATGAATAACTGCCTGTCTTAAGAAGATCCACATCAGTTTACTAGAGCTGTTATCACAGATTCTCATTTTATTACAGAAAAAAAACATGCATTTGGTCACCTGAAATCAAGGGAATATTTCAAGTAGCTCTTGACAAGAAGAAATTTTACCAGTGAAAATCTAAAAAAAAAAAAAAAGTTGAAATTTCTAAAAAAGTGCTAGCCCAGGTCTCTTCCTCATACATTGGCCCAACATTTCATTTCAAAAATTCATAGTAGAGTAGAAATTAGTGGCCATTTCAAAACCAATTGATATTTTACTACAACTCCCATGCAGCTGTTCCTATCTGCATGTTTAAGACAATGTAAACTCAATCATTGTACAAATCAATTAGCTAACTCAGTCCTTTCTTAGCCTGAATAAATAGAAAATGTGGATTCTCAGTAGGACCCACAGAGAAGAGGCTCAAGAAACTACATGACAATATCACTACATGAAAATAGGTTAACCAAAGCGAGTGTAAGCCATACGCTGAGAAAACACTGTGTGCACCAAATTGTGACACTCAAGTTTGCTACGCATATCATCAATGAAGTCTCTCCAAGGAGTCATGCAAGAGTTGTCTCCATTTGGAACTCACAATAGTTATCAAGTTCAATGTTCAAATAACACTGCCGATAATGTCAATAAATGACAGCAATCATCAGCACATAAATGAGCTGTTTTACAAATGCAATGATCTGTGCTAGCGTAATTGTGCTTAGGAGAATTACAGAACTAAGTTTATTTCTATTGTCAGTACCTGCTAGCATCTGGAAGCAAGGAAGATCAGAAAAATAATAGTACAGTATAATTATGTTCTCTTTTTGGATGGGTATTGAAACCCTGGATCCAGAAGTGCAGCACACATATCTTCTGCAGAAGGTGAATGAAATAATCAAAATATAGGATCATATTTCAAATCATAAGAGCTAATTTGAATATCCTGATCACTACATCAATAAATATAATTTATCCTCCCCTCCAGCTTCCAAACTACATTATGATCATATCTCTTCAGAAAAGATGTGACATTGAATAGACAAATGCTATTTTGTGTGTTATGCTGCTGAAATGTAAATCTATGATCTCACTCAATACGTCTGCTGGTCAGAGGAAAGGATGCTAGTCTGAAAGAAGGTACAAGACAGAATTTCTGGTCTCTTTAGGAAAAAAGCAGTTCAGGAAAAAGTAGCAAAGGAGGCACAAAAGCCAGACCACCTAATTCTCAAGCAGTACCAACAGACCAATGAAGTCCATCTTTAAAGCAGATACCAAGAAAAAAGCTTTTTTTCATTAGAACTTTACAGTCTTTGAATGAAAATGTCACTAGTGACTTATAAGAAGCAAAAAGTAAATTAAAGACCAGCCTATTTCCCCATAAGTTATTATCTGTGAGTATTAAAGAAAGTACCTTGGCAAGATCAAAGAGTGACACAACTGTATTTGTCTTAGTTGACTGAAAATGTCTAATTAGACTGACAAATCTGTGCTGTTTTCCTTTGTGAGATACACAGAAAGAAAGGATTTAGCCTGGACCTGCATATTCTGGAAAGACATTAATCAAGATTATTGGAGCCTCCGTCTAAAATAAATTTAACAGGCTGGAATGCCTAATGGTTAAAATCAAAGGTTGAGAAACTTATTCTGAGACATACCAATGCGCTGAGCACTCTACATGGATAATGGATAGAAATCTTTATTCTTTATAAAGAATATTCTGCATAATATATGTCATACACTGTAATGTTGTCACTTTAAGATCACAGCTGAAAACACCCACAAATAATTTATTATTTTAAATTCCAAGCTATATTTGAACAGTTTGGCAAGCATCATTATCCTTATCCTTACAAGAAATTAAGACATGCACCAGATCTTCAATAGAGTACGTATTTTATGCTTCCTCATGGACAGCATAATCACAGAATCACGGAATCCTTAGAGTTGGAAGGGACCTCTGAAAGCCATCTAGTCCAACTCCCCTGCAATGAAAAAGGGACATCCACAGCTTAACCAGGTTACATGGGGCCTTCTCCAGCCTCTCCTTGAAAGTCTCCAGAGGCAAGACATCTACCACATCACCGGGCAATTATCCATCTGACCTCCCAGAAGGGTACTGATTTCTTTTCCACAGAAATTTTTCCATGGTTTTGGTTTTATGACACCAGCTATCCAAGCCATGGAGCAGACATATTAGGGGCCTGTCCCAGGTCAGTGAGCCCTGGAATCTCCAAGAAGCTTATCTGAAACAGATCTCTTTTTATTTTCCTCCAGGACCCCTCTGAAGGATATTTGAATCACAGACACATTCCTATCAGCAATTTTACTACTATGAAGTTATACATCTCACCCATTTCTCACACAAATTCTTCTTGTCTTCCACTAAACTGAGTTTCATTTCCTTGCAGAAATAGTATACGTTTTGAAATATAATTAAGTTATAGATATTTTAAATATTAACGTTATTGCCACATGATATTTCCAGTAACATTTTTCTTTGCTTTGGATGTTTGTTTAAGACCATATCCCACTACAGTCTGGGAGCTTAACATACTGTATAGTGTGTCACTGGTCTGTGTATATGCAGTGTATTTTTAAAGCATTTCATTTTCCCATTTTCATTAAGTAAAACTGTAGTCTAAAACACTACTGGCAGTGTTAACAAATTAGAGGAGATATTCTGATGTACAATACAAACAGAAGTTTGCAGTTATGCTGTTTTGTATTTACCAACAAGTGATATGTAAATCTAAATCCCACTAAAATTGTTTTGGATTTTGTATCACTTTGGGATGATGGATCTTGAATTTTGCACAAGCTTTATATACATTTCAAAAAGGAGAAGTTTTAACTTCTTACATATGAAAATGAGCAATTCAAATAGCACAGACTGTTCTAATACAGTAAGAATAGTTATTTAACCTGATTTTTGACATTAGGTATTAGATAGTTTTCTTTGTATCTTAGCTGGCATTTCTGCAATGAATCAGAATGCTTCTATGCTAAGTAGTGTACTCATGCAGAATAAAAAGTTCATTTTGAACTCACAGAGTTTTCAATTTAAGTATAAAACATTATATTGCAAATAGATACAGGTAAATTGAATAAAGAGAATAAAGGGATGAAAAATGTGACAATATTCATAAGCTTGATAAACAGCTACCCCAGAACATCATCAGCATAACCACTGAAAACTTTTTCAACATAGTTAAAGGAAGGTTTCAGTAACACTGGAAGTATAACCTAGTTCTGCCTTGCAAACAGTCAACTGGAAGCAGAAAGATTCTTATGATCAAATTTAACAAGTGAGCCTCCCCCCAAAAATAATAATGCTGATAAGAATGGGAAGGGGAGGGGCTAAACAGAAAGGCCTTGAAAGTAAAGAAAAGATGTTTATTTCTGAGGAAAACAGGGGAGAAAACCTGGAGTAGGGTAATAAATAACTGCACATAGCCCCAGGTGGCTATATTTAACATTCCCCAAAGAGCATACTCGTTCTATTTGATTTTTATACCACTTAGAAATGAAGTTATAAGCAGGCCTGACAACGGTGATGTCTAACACTAGCAAGATAAAACAACCATTAGGCATCTCAAAACCACAGCTGGAGATACTGCCCAAAAAGAAAATGACGATTTCTTCTCACTTTTACTGCAGAAATAATGCATTGCAAGCTGACAGAATCAAATTCTACCAAAAGTAAGGAAGAAAGTAGAGCCATTTGTGCTGTGGCAGCAATAAAATGTCCCAGTATTGAAATGCAGAAACTTGTAATGGAGATACATATTGACTTTTATCTTGCTTTCAATGGGCAGTATGAAGTGTCAAAGAGTTATTGCTTTAATATCATCTAAGATGAGACCATTTGTTGTGGTGCATGTGTATCCAGGAAATCATTGCTCTAACCATGTTTTTAGAAGCACTTTGACACTTTATTAAATCTTCTTGATGCACTTTCGGCATACAATGGTCTCTATAGGCCCACTGAACTACCACGTAGCTTAGGCAGGAAGCTTTCTGGAAGATTTCCTCATCAAACACTGCAGGGTGATTTCCAGCTTCACTCAGACCACTAAAGTCCAGTACTAGTCTCTGTTACATTCCTATAGTTAAACACAGTTCTGTTAACTTTATAAATCATAGAAAATCTCCAATAAACTACAGTAACAAGAGCAGGATCTGGTCAACACTTCATTCTTCGGGAGATGTAATTATACAAAAATTTTCTCTAAAATTAGAGTAAGTTTTTGAGGAGAAGGAACACTAATTCTTTCACAGTTTATGACAAACAGAGAAGAAACCTCGAGTAATTTCTCTTTATTTGGCTGCAACTTTTAAAAATGGTTACTGAGTGTTGTGTTTGAGTCTCATAATTCAGTCCTGCTACCAACTGGATGTAGTGCCAAAGTTGTTGGGGCAACACTAAAACTTGGCTTGAAATTCATTTTTCTGCTGCAGCAAAAATAACTCACAGAACTGCAGAATGGTTGATGTTGGAAAGGACCTCTCTTTCCATCTGGTCCAATCCCTGCTCAAGCAGGGACATCCAGAGCAGACTTGGTGGCTTTTAAAGATCTCCCTTTCAAGAACGGAGACTCAAAAGCTCTTACCCACACAGTGAAAAAACGCTTCCTGATGCTCAGACAGAACCCACAGCATATAGTTTGTACTGGTTGCCTCTTGTCCTGTCACCAGGTAGCACTGAAAAGAGACTGTCTCTGTCTTTTTTATATCCTCCCTTACTGTATTTGTTCACATCGATAAGATCCCCTGAGCCTTCTTTTATCCAGGCTGAATGGTTCCACAGCTCTCTGAAATTCTCCTCATAGGACAGATGTATCAGTCCTTTAGCCACCTCAGAGGTCCTTTTCTAGACCATCTCTAGTAGTTCCATATCTCTTTTATGCTTGGGAACCTAGAACTGAACACAGCACTCTGGGCGTGGCCTGACTTCCTAATATAGTTAAGAGGACAATTTTTCATAACCTCAGTGATCAGTGCTAGATTTAAAATAAAGAGAATAGCCATATATACACAAACACAACTAGTAACTGATGAAATCTTCTGAAATAGTAGAAGACAAGTGTGTTACTTGCATGATTCTAGATTTCAAAGTACTTTATTTCATTAGGTTCTTCCATTTCAAGCAGAAGAAATTGTTTCAGAGAAGGAAATGGAATCATTTAAATTTTTTTCTCTAACTGGACAAAAAAATACCCTTCTCTGGGGGTTTAATGAAGGCACTCTATGATCAATAATCACTAGGTAGTGTCTCAGTCAGTATACATGAGTATCAACAAAAGCAAATTACTTCAACTTGATGAGGATCTTATGTAAATAAAAGTTTTAGAACATGTACTTCATCCTAGTTAATACCGTGATAGTATACTACTGAAATAAATCATTTTGAAATACTAATCCACTATTCAACTGATTATTTATGTTATTCTTTAACCTACGCATACAAGAAGAGCAAATATAAGGTTTTTAATTTCTAATCAATACCACTGTCTGGCTATAACCAAATAAGTAGTTCAAAACCGCTGCATTTTTAGGTATGAACACACTATGTTGGTACAATCTGGCTAGAATATCTGAGATCTGTTTATCATAAGAATGTGTTTTACCAAAGATGCTGAAATTGCTCTATGTTGGAGCAACTTCATTTTGCAAGAAAGTGATCTAGATGGTGTGAAGGCTGTAAAAGGAAAATGAAAAATGGCTCAATAAGGATGTAATGCTCCACTGCTTTTCACTCCATTATGAACATCAGTGTTGCAGCAGTATATAGTATCATAGTGATAAATAACCATACGCACACCCCCCTATAAGGCTTTGTTACTCTCTTAGCAATACATTTCACAGTATATCCAACTGAAAAAACATTTAAAATGTTGTTCTAATTTCCTTTGGAGCAATTTTACTTACCTAAATATGGTTGCAGTTGAACAGGAGAAAAATCTGTTATTATTACATTATTATAAATACGTGTAATTCATTGAGTTTGTTCACCAACACAAGAGGACAGCACATTGTGTGTTGACTTATCTTCACAAAAACATTAAGAGTGGAACATGATTCAGATAACAGTTCTAGTGAACTTACAAATGAGCAGAGAAATGAGATTAATTAAGAACCCAAGGAAACATCCAAGACCAATTGACTCACCTGGATGCTAGGTGGTGAACGATTTTTTCGGGTTGTAGTGGTGGCCATCGTAGTTGTGGTTTCCATGACAGTAGTAGACATTTCTGGTGGCACAGAGGTTGTGGGTGTTGTTCCCAAGATGGAAGGGACCTCCCCGACAAGACGGACACTTCCATTGATTTTAATGTTAGGGTTGTTCTCTGCTGCCATGTTCAACACTTTCAAGCCATTGTAATAGAGACCGGAGAGTTGGCCTTGGAAGAGACGCCCTCTGTCTTTTCCTCCTATGGCTATTTGCGCCTGGGTGTTGAAGATCGTTAACTGTCGTCCTAGTGAAGGGGGGTGGAACAACATTATTGCTAGACATTTCTTTTACTTTGTACCTTATATTGAATCCTGGCCAGAAATGATAGACAACAAAGAAATAGATTCATTCTCAGTGTTTATGAAGACTGTAGGGTAGAAATAGAATATGAAAATGTATTGCCTGTGATTCATTAATAATAGAGATTATTTTGAAAGCAAGAACGCCTGAACCCTCATCCATCCATAGCCACTTGTGCATCAAAAATCCAGAGGAGCTATAATACAGTCAGAAACCTGAACCCACTTCTTTAGAGTTGGACCAATCTTTAACTACTAAAAAGACATCAATATGTGGCTTTTTTTTTTCCTGCTATCAATTCAAATCACAGTACCTATCAAGCTTTAAAAAACCTTTTTTAAAACCTTTTAAAACCCATTAAAAAAACCTTCCCTTTTGACTGGTCAAAGCGTGGAATTGTCTCGTAAAACCATTTTTAACATTGCAAAGGTGTTGAGGGGTGGCCTGAGGAGATAACGCCAGAAAAATTGGTGGTGATCAACTGTTTATCACCATCTATACAGGAATTGTAAATGAAACTTAAGATAGGCTTATTCATGATCTTCCACCTGAAAATTTTTTGTTGTGAAGGCTCACGAAACTAAAACCAGGAAAACGCAAACACTAACATCACAATGTCTCTGAAAGAGCGAAGTTCTTGAAACAGTAAGGATAACAACTACATCCCAGAAAGCCTTACATGTAAATCCCACTTGCAGATGTTTACATTCAAGAGTAGGCAAGTTAAGTGGTTTATTCAAGGTCACACCTTGAGTATTAGGAGTGGATTGATATAATATGTAATAAGAAACACACTTTTTAAAAAATAAATCCTTATAACAATTGTCAATTCTATTTTTGCAGGCCACTTAAATCACATTTAGCCTTGTCTGCTCTATAAATACTGCGTATGTCCCAGGCTAAGAAATAAATTGCTTCATGCAGTGCAAAGATAGTGCCTGTAATTTCACTGTTCTTCAGAATATTAGGACCACACCAGCTGGATCTGTTGAATTACAAGAGAGACAGACTAGGCACTGCTTTGAAGGATTATCAAAACAGCATCAAGACAACCACCATTCAAATATTTGTGTTCTCCTGCTTTTATGAAATTTGTACCATGTGTCCCCATCCCATTCCCGCTCCCCAGTTCTCATTCACCACTTCCTCTACAGTCCACCCTGACTAGAAGTGCAAAAAGCCACCATGTAGCAAAGCACAAAGTATAGCCCACTGCTCATTTATTCACAGACAGTGGTTAAAGCAGATCAAAATACAAGGGGGAGCTCACCAATTTTGGTGGTCGTCGTGGCAGGTCTCGAAGTCAAGTGGTGATGCGGTGTTGCATCATCTTATGGTGACAGGATGGACCATGGGGAAGAGAATGGGGACAAGAGAAGAAATGTATCTGAAAGGAGTTCCTGTCCCCAGAGAGGGCCCTAGTTAACTGAGCAAAAGTGTATGGAGAGGTGCAACATATGGACACATGTGAAGGTGAGTTGCGCACCCCTTATGCTCCTCACCCACAGATTTGTAAATGAAACACTAGGACTTGATCAGGGTGGAGGAACAGCACTGATGAAAAAATGAGAAATAAGAAACGAGGGTGCCCTTCCCCTGGAAAATGTTTAAACACTTGATGCAGCATTTTGCATCTTAGGATGTTTTAAACTTACCAGAGGATCTTTATGTATGTTAAAGCAATAAACATGCACTGGAGCCACAAATTCCCAGCATGTAAAATCAGAGCAGGTTTTTTTGTTTTTTTTTTCCCTCAGTCTTTCTGCTTGTCTATGAGGAGAATAGGATCCAGTAAAAATATCCATCAAAATGTACAGCTCTTTCAATCCAACTCCCCTCAAATCTAGAGGAATTGGTACTGTACACTGTAGAAGGCGAAACTTGTCATATACTACGGCCTCAGAGACTGATTTTCTTCCTAGTAGCTCTGTCCTGTTGTGCATTAGATTTTCTAATGGACATGCTGTCAGTTCCTTACTTCACCATCTTCTGTTCTCCTCACATATTCCCTCTCCCTAGAACTACATTTCCTTCCATGCTGTTTCTGTCCCTACACACCCAGACACTTCATTTGTATTGTTCCATCCTTCCCACTTCACTTATGATACAGTGCCAAAAAATGGAGATGAGGTGAATCAATAGCAGGGAATATCATCACCCATCTTCTTTCACTAATCTTGAAATGACACTGCTGAAAATGAAGGGAAAGTGCTGACCTTTCAAAACTTCCCAGTTCTATTCATTTTTTCTCCTTGAACCAAAACTGTCACTTTCTATCATCTTTTACCAAAGGGAAAAGGGGTGGGCAATGGTGAGGAGGAATCATTTTTTACTGCTCCAGGAGAAGAGCTTCCTAAACCAGGGAGGAAAAGAAAGGGGTTCTGGTTCCTCCCATTTTACTGGAGAATTATGGACCTACAAAAGATGTCATTCACTTCTTTCACTCTAACCCAAGCCCATAGTACATCTTTAGATATGTCTGTCATATCTTTTTTTTTTTTTCAAAATGAGAAATTAGTACATTAAAGGTGGGAGCTGGGGGGTGGGGGTGGGGTGAGGGAGAAGGAAAATCACTTCTCTATTTCCAGGCTTTTTTCTGCATCTTCTAATGCTGACACCTTACCCCAGGGAAATGGCCACACTCCAGTAAAAAACAAAATTTTGATTGTGAATTTTGGAGTTGTCCTTGTTCAGTAAGTGGACTGCCAGTTGAGGACAATTCATGCACTACACCATATGGTAAACACCGCAGACAATACTGGTACTAGAACTCTGTTTGCTAAAAGAACAATCACTTGATTGAGTTATCTATAATATGTAATTCTTTGCTCTTCATTCTGTGATGGTGTACACATGCATGAATAAAGACAACAGGGAAATGCATATGAAATGAGAGAATATCATTGAGAAAATGTACACATAATTCTGCCACCACTGACCTCTTCTAACTATTTTTTTGATTATATGTTAGCCCTTGATCCCCCCCTAAATGAAACTTACTGGGCTGCTGAATTTGATTGAGGAACTGTATTTATAAATTCTATTACATGTGTAAGGGTTGCAAGCTTATAGTCTATATTTTCCACAAAAAAATTCTTCCCACTGCTTAGTGCCATAGTAGAGAAAAATGACAAGTGTATTTTGTGTTTCTGAGGTGATCTTTAAACATTCTGAGTAGTTCAAGTTCTCATTTGTTTGTCTGTCATTGACTTCTTCATTTGGAGAGCTGAATACCAATAAGAAATTTCACTGAGAAATCTTAGTGAAATATAAGCTTTCTGTAATGCTAGGAGAGATTCCAGGGCTGATTTTGCAAACCCAAATTCACATCAACAGTTCTTGCTCCAAAAGTGCAGTTGTTCACATCAATGAGACCTCTCACATAAGAGGAATTTGCAGAATTAAGAGCTTCCAGAATCAGACCTTTTGTTGAAACGTATCTGTGACTTTACCAGCTCCTCATACTGCAGAACAAACATCCGAACCAGGTAGCAAGCACCAGGTATTCTACTAATAAAATAACCTGGTTTTATGATATCTGAAATTGAACAATTTAGAACTTTTTTTAAAACTCACAATCTCAGTGAAGTTAATAGTGGTTAATGTTTTACGTATTACTCGTATAATTCAAGATTGTAGGTGTGTACCTCTCTGAATACTGTAAACAATTTATATAATTAAAAAAAATAAAACCTTCAACATTAATGCTGCCACTTCAGAAAGATGCTGCATTATATACATTTCATTATTATGAATTATATAATAGTGGTACCAAAATAATGCCAAATCTATGGCAGTAAAAAACTCAATTAGAATGTGTTTAATCTTACCCCACTCAAGCCAAGAACTAACAATGGAAGACAGCTTTTCTGTGCATTAATTCACTTATGAATCTGTCTATTCCTTCACTCATCAGTTCATCTTATTCAGTTTTGATAGTGAGCTATGCCTTCACTCATCATCTTTATACAGAAGGTATCTATGATTCAGTAAGTGTTGGATGGATGACCAGATGGATGAGCAGACTGGTGAACAGCTAGGTCAATTCTTCATTCTGATTTTTTGGATGCTATATAATTTGCTGAGAAGGTCTATCTACATTGGAATGAAGGAACGAAGATGTATTGTTACAGGTGTTGCACTGCATGATGCCATTTTCCTAATACACAATGTGAAGATTGAATTTCCTTTCACTCTGGGAAAATCACGCGTATATGCATCTAGCCTAAAATCATTCTTTCCTTCAAGAGTGTCTGCATTCTCAAATATTGTCGTTCAGATCCCACTGCATGTGTGATTGTCTTTTAACAAAGCATCAATATTCACAAAAAGTAGACTTCAATTCAAATCTTTAGGATGGCTTACAAAGGGAAAGTACCTTGGCATGCTTATAAGCTCAAACTTAGAGAAGCAGTGACACAAAATAAATCAAAGAAAAAACTTGTAGAAAACCAAAAAGGAAAATAAAAGATATGGAATAAAAAAATGGGTTCTCAAGCACATGAATAGCATCAAAGAATTCGACATGCATCAGTTTTAATAAAGTTGAGGCAATCACTGTCTTTAGTGTTAAAGGGACTTTAGCAATTCAAACTTACCAAGATTATCCACTGTTTAGTGTTAAGCTTTATTTATTTAATTTAGTTTGATCTTGTAAATTAACAGGGTAGCCCACTGAGATTCAATAAGCATTTTCTGTATACCTTTATCTAAATATCTTCTTACCAGCCAGCAGAAACAAATTGTTCCATGAAACCATGATGATCAAAACATATTTCTGCTTTAGTTATACAATTTTCTTAGCTTTATTTATAAACACATCAGAGTTGTAGACCAAATCTGGAAAGTGGGCAACACTGCCAGCTGTCACTGAAATCAATAGGAACTGTGTGCACAGCACTTTGAAGGATGAGACTTTTCACAAAAAATATTTTGACTGCAAGT